CCACACTATCTGGGTTGTCTGGGACATCCAGATCTTTCTGGTATAATTCCTCTATGTATTTTGCCACCTCTTCTTGATGTCTCCTGCTCCTGAGGTCCCTACCATTTTTGTCCTTTATCATGTCCATTTTTGCACAAAATGTTCCATTAATATTTCCAATTTCCTTGAACAGATCTCTGGTTTTTCCCTTTCTATTTTTTCCTATATTTCTTTGCACTGTTCATTTAAGAAGGCTCTCTTTTCTCTCCTTGTTATTCTTTGGATGTCAGCATTCAATTTTTGTATCTTTCCCTATCTCCCTTTCATTTTGTTTCTCTTCTCTGCTATTTGTAAGGCCTCGTTGGACAGCCACTTTGCTTTTCTTGCATTTCTTTTACTTTGGAATGGTTTTTGTTGCTGCCTCCTTTACAGTGTTATGAGCATCCATCCATAGTTCTTCAGGCACTCTGTCCACCAAATCTAGTTTCTTAAATCTGCTCTTCACTTCCACTGTGTATTTATAAGGAATTTGGTTTAAATTATACCTGACTAGCCCAGTGGTTTTCCTACTTTCTTCAATTTAAGGTTGAGTTTTGCTATAAGAAACTGATGATCAGAGCCACAATCAGCTCCAGGTCTTGTTTTTGCTGACTTTATAGAGCTTCTCCATCTTTGGCTGCAGAGAACATAATCAATCTGATTTTGGTATTGCCTACCTGGTGATGACCATGTGTAGAGTTGCCCCTTGTGTTGTTGGAAAAGAGTGTTTGTGAAGTTGGCATAGGTAGCTGCTGATGTGCTGTTTCACTGTTGATCATGCACTTGACCCCACAACCATGATGCACATCTGGCACTTTGTTAATTAGCCACAGCAACTTCAGTAATTTTTCTGGCATGTGTAGAATAGGATGTTGGACAATATATTGGCAGAAAAGTCTCTAATGGTAAGTAAGCTATGTTTTTACACCCTATTTGAGTTTATTTAAGATCTTCTAAAATGCCTTTTAAGAGCCCACCATGCTGGCTTCACATGTTTTATAACTAGAAGATTATGCAGATGCTATACAGTACAGTAGTTTCTATGGACGGAAAAGAGCAGATACGGATTAAATGGTTTTCATTATGAGGGCCCTTGTTGGGAAATGTCCTATGGGAAATGCAGATTCGACATAAGAACTTTTCAACTTGAGAACCACCTTCCAATACGGATTAAGTTCTTAAGTAGAGACCCCACTGTATTTTGCTTCATTCCGAAACTACAATTGTCCTTTATTAGAAAAGTAATGCAAGGAGGACAAATTGAAATGTTTTGTAGTGGAAACAATGCAGTAAATGGTGAAGAAGGTGTGAAGACATTCTCTGAACCTGTACAGGTGTTTGATTAAAATGATGAAGAATTATAATTTCCAACAAGGGCCCTCATAATGAAAAAGATGATAAAGAAAAATCATGGCATTAACATGCTGTTTGGTGTGAAACACTTAGGCTGTGGCTAGACAGTGAAATTATCCTGGATTGGAGTGGACTCTGCACGGTTGAAAAGAGTCTCTTAGAAGTGTGCTATGGCATTTAGATACAGTACAGTGGTGCCTCGTATAACGAGTGCACCGTTGAATGATGAATCCGCATTGCGATGCGGATTTCCCCATCGCTAATGCGAGGGCATGCTCGTATTATGATGGGCGAACAGCTGTTCAGCGGTTCCAAAATGGCCGTGGAACACAAAAAATGGGTGCCGGTACACCCAAGATGGCCGCCGGGACTCTCAAAATGGCCACCAGTACACCCAAGATGGCTGCCGGAACAAGGGAAAACATCGGAGAACGGTGAGTTTTGGGCCCATTTGGAACTCATTAAACTTTGTTTAATGAGTTCCAATGGGTTTTTTGGATCCGTTTTACGATGTTTTCCCATAGCGAAGGTTAATCCGGAACGGATTAACCTCGCTATGTGGGGCACCACTGTATAATCTTCTATTCACACACAAAACAGGGAAAGAAAGGTTAACGTTTCCACAAACCTAACCGAATTATCAGCATCTCCTTGCCAGATGATATTGTTTGCATTTTAAGTTTGCCTTGGGAGAGAAACAGTCTCTTTTCGTTTTTGTAAAAATGTGTTTGAAATTAAATAGTACTAAATTAGACAAAAACATAAGAAAAAGAAGAAGTTTAGAGCAGAGGCAACAGAAGAAGTAGGGGGTGTTGGTTCTGAGGCATCACTGTCCCTCCTGTATAATGCTATCTCCCTCCTTAGAAGCATACCAGCAGCTTAGATCTCAGACAAGCTGGGTCAATGCACATTGCAGTTATATCCTTTCCTCTCTCTTTCTCATATTTTCATTCACACCCTCTCACCCCACCTCTTTTGGAAGCTGAGGCTCCCCCTTCCACCAGGTGTACATGTACACGCAAGACACCACCTCAATCTAGAATTTTGTAGAAGTATGTATTTTTAAAAAATATATAAAAATATTTTGGAAAATAGGCAACAGAATAGGAGGTGGTCCTTTCCAAAAAGAAACAAAAGAAGACTGAAAAAGGACACGACTGGACAAATTATCAAGGGGAACCTTTACCTAGTCGCTATTAGCTGTATGTTCTGTAGTCGTACATGAGGAATATTTTTAATGTGGCCCTTTCATTTCACCCTAATAGAAATTGTGTTGACAAATATATATTTACTAGGGAAATTGATTATAATGTTCTGTTAACAGTTGTATTGAGTGAAATCTAATCTGGATTTGTAGTTATTTTAATTCAAGGATAGAATAGTGTGAGTTTAGTTAAATAACGGTTTAGTTAAAATGTGGTAACTGGTATGATTCTCTTCTGGACTGCATCCTCAATTATTCTTTCTTCTTTTTAGGTATCTTTTCTGATTTGTTGAAAACTTCTGAAATCAACTAGATTGCAGGATGCATTTATTTTTATTATTCCTTTTTAATGGAATAGTCCCTGGCTTGAGTGGTAATTATCCTTATGAGAGAGTACCCAGGTTACTTCTTGTATCTTTTGATGGATTTAGAGCTGATTATCTGAAGAAATATGAACTTCCATATCTTCAGGATTTTATTAAGGATGGTGTATTAGTAGAACATGTCACCAATGCTTTCATTACAAAAACCTTCCCGAATCATTACAGCATAGTCACAGGACTGTATGAGGAAAGCCATGGGATTGTTGCAAATGAAATGTTTGATGCTATTACAAAGAAAAAATTCTCACAGTTCAATGACACCGATCCTTTCTGGTGGAATGAAGCAATTCCTATTTGGGTTACAAATCAGAGGCAGGAGAACAGAGCAAGTGCTTCTGCAATGTGGCCTGGCACTGATGTAAAAATTCACAATTCTACTCCTCATTTTTTTATGAAATACAATTCTTCAGTAAGTTTTGATAAACGCGTAGATAATATAATTTCATGGTTGAACAGTTCTAATCCACCAGTGACTTTTGCTACTCTTTATTGGGAAGAGCCAGATGCAAGTGGGCACAAGTATGGCCCAGAAGATATCCAAAACATGACTAAAGTATTAGAAGAAGTGGATAAACTTATTGGCTTGCTTATTCAGAAACTTAAGGCTTCAAAATTGTGGGAGGAAATTAATGTCATCATTACAAGTGATCATGGCATGGTTCAGTGTTCCCAGGATAGGTTGATCAATCTGGATGGGTGCATTGACCGTAATAGCTATAGACTGGTTGACAAGAGTCCAGTTGCTGCATTACTGCCACAAAGTAAGTACATTTCCACATCATTTAGAAGCTATTGTGTTGACTTTTTAAAAACTGAATTTTTAAAACAGTAGTATTCTGGATGTTTTAAGATGAAACTTAACGTCAAAGCATACAAAATACAGGAGATCAGTGATCAGATCTCTCACCTTTTTCAGAATGTTATTGTTACTGTTCAGTGATCTAAATATGAGAAACACCTATTTTTCTGATTCTGGATGTTTCTCTGGAGTGTGGTGGTGAAATACAGATTTGGATAATAACCCCTCCTTAGTACTGATAGAATTTTAAAGGATTAGATAGGATTGTAATGTTTGAAATGGGAGATTCAATGACAGATCTTCCATCTGTTCAAGTTCTTATGATGAGCCTGATGTATCCTGATGTTTCCCATAATGATTAAAATAAGCTTTTTAGATACATTTAAAATCGCAACTGATTTAACGATTAATCAGTACAATTTGACCTGAATTCCATTGTAGTTTCCTTTTATATCTGGAAAAATACATTAGAGTAGGATCAAAGTATGATCCATATTAAACTTAAACTTTTAAAGAGTTTGAGTTCTGCGTTAGAGAGGCACCTTTTGATTTACACTGTGTTTCTCTTCAGATGAAACAGATGCATATAACTCAGTGAAAAACTGCAGTCCTCACATGAAAGCTTACCTTAAAGAAGAAATTCCAGAGCGATATCATTATCATCACAGTAGGCGCATTCAGCCCATAATTTTGGTTGCAGATGAAGGCTGGACAATAGTACAAAGTGAGAATCTTCCAAAGTGTAAGTATTTTGTTTTGTTAGTCTGATTGAAGAAAGTGATTCCTTATTTATAAATACTGCACTCCCAAAGCCAACTACACCAGAGCACAGAGTGCTGTCCTCTGAAGATGCCGGCCACAGAGACTGGCGAAACGTTAGGAAGAACAGCCTTCAGAACACGCCCAAAGAGCCCGAAAAACCCACAACAACCACTTGCAAAATTACTTGTTTTGCACACAAGAAGATGTTTTGAAACATTGAGACAGGTTGCCAAGAAACTGCAGACCCTTGCAAGATTTCTTTCTGAAAGCTTGAGAATCAAACAAGCAGCTTTCTTTCTCGGTGAAGTATCCTCAGTGTATTGTATGGTCACTTTTTCTTTTGTGAAACTAAATGTGGATGAGGGGAGGAAAAAAGCAGCAGGATACCATGATGTGTCCTTTCTCAACCACCCTTGTCTTCTTTTTCATTCAGTTCAGCTACAGTGGGGTCTCAACTTACAAAATTAATCCATATTAGAAGGTGGGAAACAAAATAAATGAGGACTTCTATTCCTGCATCCTAAATTGTGGATTAAAATGAATGCTAAACTAGGCATATATCATCTAGCTCCAAGATCTTTTCTTTTAAAACTATAAAAAGTACTGTGAAAGAATTTCCACATCAGTGGCAATTATTCTTGAATTCTATACAGTCCTTTTCTACATTAAAGTGTTTGGTTGATTGTAAGGGGATTCTTTAGAGTGGTATTTAAAGAAACACATCTTTTTTTTTAATTATATAAAATCCATCCATGTTGATTTAACATCGTGCCACCTGGGTACAGCTTTTAATCATTTGTTAAAACAACTACCATACACATTACGCTCCTAATCTATATAACGTCCTTCTAACCATTGATAGAACAAGTCCCATGTTTGATAATATTTTGTATCTTCTTTTCCTTTGATTTTCAGTGTTAATCTATCCATTTCGGCGCAGTCCAATATCTTTTTAATTATTTCTTGATCTGTGGGTATTCCTTTCTTTTTCCAGTACTGTGCATATATAATCCTCGTGGCTGTTAAAATATGCAGTATTAAATATACATTTTGTTTATCAACACTTTCTGGTATTATACATAACAGAAAGAGCTCCGGCCTAAAGTCTACATGCTTTTTGATTATTTTAACAAGCCATGTATGTATTTTGTTCCAAAAGTTTTTTGCTTTATCACAGATCTCTGGTTTTTCCTTTTCTATTATTTTCCTCTATTTCTTTGCAATGTTCATTTAAGAAAACCGTCTTGTCTCTCTTTGCTATTCTTTGGAAGTCTGCATTCCATTTTCTGTAACTTTCCTTATCTCCCTTGCATTTTGTTTCCCTTCTCTTCTCTGCTCTTTGTAAGGCCTCGCTGGACAGCCACTTTGCTTTCTTGTATTTCCTTTTCTTTAGGATGGTTTTTGTTGCTACCTCATGTACAATGTTACGAGCCTCTATCCAAAGTTCATCAGGCACTCTGTCCATCAAATCTAGTTCCTTAAATCTGTTCTTCACTTCCACTGCGTATTCATAAGGGATTTGGCTTAGATTCTACCTTATTAGCCCTGTGGTTTTTCCTACTCTCTTCAGTTTAAGCTTGAATTTTGCTATGAGAAGCTGATGATCAGAGCCACAATCAGCTCCAGGTCTTGTTTTTGATGACTGCATAGAGCTTCTCCATCTTTGGCTGCAGAGAATATAGTCAATCTGATTATGGTATTGCC